AAAAGGCTTCCAAACTGCCTCAACCTTCAGTTTCCCACCTCTACAGAAGGCCTCATTATGCTTGGAACAATGACCACATTTAAAATGCTCTTTGTCAAGAAAGATCTTTTCATCCTGGCAGAATAATTGTGTATTAAAGCTTCTGTTAGAGTAGTTCCTAAGGTTTCATCTTCAGATTGTCTGTCTTTTGAACCTGCCTCTAACATAGAAGTGAAATAAACTCATCCGTGTATAACGTGGTTCTGTGGAGTCACATATGTTCGGGGACTCAGTACCATTAACAGAATTAAAAATTTTGATGCCTCCAAGAAATCATCGGTCAGTCAAAACAATAGGAATTTAATAAATACCTACCTAACTGTTCCCATTGGATAATTAGGGGACAGGACCCATAGCATGTCTACAAGTGCAAACAGAGAACTAAGAAGTGTGGCAAGAGAACTAAGAAGTGTGGCACTAAGATGAGTGGCAGAAGCATAATCAGAGTAGAGTTGGGGCCAATGAAGATCAGCCATCAGAGGAAGTCAAAGTCATGGGGTCATAGAGAGAAGCAGACAGGAGGAAAGGCTGCTGAGCTCCCAGTAAAGCTTATAGCAAGAGGCAGAAGTGCAAATGCAGAAGTTAGACACTCAGCGTCGACAATTACAGAGATGGTAGAAAACATCAGTATTTGCTGGCAAGGCCACTCTGCAATGAAGAAAACACGATTAAACGGTCAACTCTGAATGCAATGCAGAAGACTTTGACTTTGATATGACAGACACTAAGACATGCCCGTGGTTTCTCGATGAGAAATGTCTCAATAAAAATAGTGTTTACCAAATATTATTCTAGAGTTTAGAATAGAAAAACCAACTGAGAGTTATAACAGAAAACATTTCACTAAAAAAAAAAGAAAACGAAAAATCACAAAGTCCCTTATAACATTTTTCTATTATTTCCTAATATCAAAGACTTCCCTACTGGCCCAGACTGTATCTATATTATAGAGGGAGGTGTATCACAACTGAGAATTCTTTGTGTTTTCTCTGGCTTGCTCACTAGGGCACCAGCAAAATAACTATGATACCCTTATTCACCTTATTCATATTGCAGCTGGTCTTAATGTCTGATTTTTGTTTTTGTTTTAAATACATCACAGTGGCTATTTCCTAAAGCAGGCAATTCCACACAGCATAACTGGATAGATAGAAGAAACCAAATAATCTATTCGTCCGGGGAAATTGGTGGGGGGAGAAAAAAGATGTTATGTCACCACTGGCTTGACTCCTTATGAAAGATACAGTTGAATTTTAAATTACATATCCATGGCCCATGCATCGTGTAGCTTCTCAGACCTAAACAAATCTCATAGCTAAACTACACTGTCCTGGTTCCTTTGTTATTTTATTGCTCTGTACGTATGTGTATTTTTCTGTACTGAAAGCAAGAGACTTGGAAACAGCCTGATAAAAGCCAGTCCTATATTTTATATGGCAGGAGAAGGAACACAGTAAACACAAACGCAGCAGAGCACTTCCCTTTGTTGACAACCTTATTGTTTTCCCTTAATGCATTGTTTAGAATAGCAATTACATGTCATTTCCCATTATCTTATACACAAAACCAATACCATACAGCCGTTGCTTTTCTTTCCAACAACCGATCGTGAAGACTACATAGAGGATTCGTGTGCTGGTGAAACATGTCAGGACTGACAGCTCAGAGCCCAAGAGCTCTGTGGAAGCACAGAACAGGTGCATGGCCAGGCAGCTGGGGTGAAATCTCCCCTCCACTTTCTCATTTTTGCTTTCTCGGCTTCCCTCCCTCAAAGTGTTTCCCTCTGGATTGGGCGGGAGAGCCGCTTAGGCAGAACCTCCCTTTCCAGGCTATTTCCCTGTGCCAGAGAAGGCTGGCTCACTCTCAAGACAGCAAGCATCTGACCACTGCAAACAGCAGTGAGCATGTCAACTGGTTTTATTCACATCCCCCACTAGGGAATCGGCGAGCCAAAGACGCACTGGTGATTTCCCTGGTTTTATGGATCTGGACTCCCCCTCAAGGCCTGCAACGCATTTTTGGTTCGTGTGTTCACAGTGTCCTGGCATCTGCAGTGTGGGAAACCTGAACAGAGAGCCAATAGCCCCACAGCTTCTCCCTATTAAAATGTGCAATTGGACTTCACATGTGTGTTTCGAACACCATTCAAGCCATGATTTACAGGCTACTGTCTAGCCCCACAGCTGTTTTTCCATCCTCCAGACTTAGCCGTTTCTAGGAATCCACCATCCAACTCCCAAGCAAATAGCCTTCCTACTTTGGGCCTCCTCAGTCATCCGGGGCCATGCAAAACTCTGCAAGACCTATAGGAAGGGTTCAACAACATACTTACTGAATGAACTAACTATTACGTGTTCTTTCCACATAATTTTCGTTCATGGGAAGGGCCTTCTGCTTACCCCTCCTTATACTCAACATTTTTGTCATCAAATTCATCACTGCTGATCCACTGATACAGGTTATTTATGTCTATTCAAAACAGCACGGGTCCAGTGAGTTTTGTGTAGGCCTCACTAAATCATTACCATGAAGACCTTTGACAATTATTATGTTCTCTCTAAAGAAAGAAAAAAAAGAATCACTTGTATATATTGCTTCTTATTTTCCTGTGGCTAAACAAAGACAATCTGTGTTACGCAGAGAGCTACTCGATATGATCTTGTCATGTTTCTGTGACTCGCCTGTCCCCCGAGTCCAGTTTCTGAGAAACTGAAATAACTCCCCAATAAGGTTAGGCCTCAGTCTTGGGTTGGGGTTAGCTCAGATGTGAGCGCTGATAATATCTCTAAACAATTGAGTTTAAGTTGCTGGAGGGCCAGAGCAGTACTGTATTCATGTCGGATTCTTCCGCACATAGTACAGCTCCTGGCAGAGAGCACAGGCTTAAGGAGTTGACTGAACCCAACTCTTTTTAGCCTGTGCAGAGGAAGAGGATCCATGCAGTGGGTGGTCTATAGGATTCCCTTGTCCTTCGACTTGAGGTCCACCTTTCCAGGGAGAGAGGCAAAGGAAGAAGGAATGACATTAAGAGAAATGTCCCAGGAAAAGACTTTGCAGGGAATGGCATTGGGAAGGATCAGCTTCCCCCAAACAGTTCCACAGGTGTAGCTTTCATTTCAGATGAAAGCAATTCATTAAAAGTCATGTTAAATAAAGATCTTACAATCTGGGTCAAATTAGATCATCCCTCCTGTTGCAATATACCAATCTTTTCCGGTGAACAGGGTATCTCAAGGTGCAAAGGGGACATTTTCTTTACCTTTCCACAGGAACTCTCACCAACCCCTAGATTTGAGACGCTAAGTTCCTAGAAGAAAACAAATAAACAAACAAACAAACACCACGGGTTTCCTCTTACATCTGAAACTACCACACAGAAGTTGAGGAGATCGTGTGCTCACTTCTTTACAAGTTGTAGCCACCACAACAAACCTCTTTGTTAACAGAAGTCTTTTAAGCCAGGCAGACCAGCAAGGAGCATAGGGTTTAACACGGTGTTTAATGATTTGCAGAAGGAAAGCCACCAAGCTCTACAAATCAAAAGTCCTTTTCATCTCCGGACTTACCTTTTCATTTCTTCCTACGGGTGTCTGCGGCACAGACCTCAGGAATCAAGATTACTCATTTACCCTTTTGAGAATCTGAGAATTAGACCCTGTTGACAAGTTGGGCCATCAGATCTTCAGGTTACCAGAAGATTCTCCTGTTTCAAACCCTTACATTAAAAATAACCAAAATTCGTCCTTGTTATAAATGGTCCAAAAACCCAGAATTGTAACCAAAGGATGAAAAGCATAGAATTACAGTGACCATGTATTCAATACCTACTATGTGTCAGATGCTATGGGCATTTTGCATGTGTACCTTTTCTCATTAATCTCTCAAGATAATCGGGTGAGGCAGAAATCTTTATCCAATTTTGCATATGGATATGGGAAGACAAGACTGCCCAGGGGAACATGACTCACGTAGAGAGAAGTAAGATTCAAATCCAGGCTTTTGTTCCACTTAAAGCTCCTCCTAAGAATGTTAAGAGTAGACCTTGGAAGACAGTCCCTTCCCTGGCCTGGGAAATATTCGAGCCAGAGGCAGTTAACTGGCTATTGCAAAAAAGATCCAAGCCTTAGAGGGGGTTGGAACAGAGCACCCCAACTCTCAAAGAAGCCAAACACTTCCTCCACTTGTATTGTAAGCTTCTGATTCTCAAGTCATCTCAGGTAAGCTGAGTAATCAAAACAGGTCTGCTTCTTGTTCTGATCACTATCCTCGTGCTCACCACACCATACCTACAGGTCCCAAGACTGGACTCTACCCTGCTCACCCCTACAGCTCTCTGGTCACACTGGTGGTGACCAGACCCTCCCCACGGCTTCCTGTATTTCTTCTGAAGCTCCACCACTGGGCAGTTAAACTCTCTTCCCAACTAAAACTTCCTCAACATCCTTTGGCTGTAAAAAGTCCCTATGCTATCCCTAATGTATCATGTGGTCCAGTAAGACACACTTGCCCACTCACTCACCCTGTCCATTCCTACTCTAAATTTTGTGCCATTAACTTAAATATCTGGCACCCCAAACACTTCAAAGCACATATGTGTATGTTTTAGAATAAGGCAGGATATAAATAAAAACAAAGAAATCTGCCTGGTACTCTATTCGCTTTCCTCATTGAAACCACAGAAGAAGGATGCAACACTCATCCCTCCCACAGGACAAGCTCTTCCACAAACAAGGCCCACGCGAGATCTGACCGCCATTTTCATCACGGCGCCATGCAGATGAGCAATGAGGGCCTTCCCCCTTCCCTCTTCAATTTCTACAGTTTTAACCTTTCCGCATTTCTTCCTTCACTTGACCCGTCATGTTTGCACCTAAGATTTTCCTCTGAAGAGAATGATTGGCAAGGAATCCCAGCCCACCTCGACCCTGAGTGGTTAACTCTGGCTCGGAGCCCACTTTTACCATTGGAGTCTTCCACGTCTTCGGCTGGGGTAGCTTTCTGGGAGGAATGGTGGGCGTGCGAGGAGAGGAGACTGACGATCCGTGGCCTGGGCAGGGTCAGGGCTTTTCCGTGGACCTTGAGGGAGTGTTCCTTCAACTGGCTGATTGTCATGGTGGAAAATGAGCACCAAGAACACTTGTAGGCATGTTCACCTGGGGGAAGACGGTGACAAGGGACAGGCAGGGGAAAGAGGGGAGGAGAAGGGAAGGGGAGTGGAGAACAAAATAACACGGTTGATTCACGCTAGAGAAGGGCCTCTCAAGCTTCATGGTCTAGGAATGAAGCCTCCCAGACCAAGTACCTGCCCACTCCCACAACCACAATGCGCCTTTGGGATCGAAACTCTTCCACGGGCTCCAGAATCAAGCGGACTGGCCCCTTCTCATTGCATGCTCTAAGGATGGGGGTGAGGCTATAAGCTGATTCCCCACAGGGAGTGAAACCCAACTGCCTATGATCCCTCCTTCAGAAAGATTCCACAATCCCTCTCTGTCTACACTACAACTGACCATGTCAGGTTTCATTCAAGGTTGCCTTTTTGTAAACCACAGAAAATAATGTGCTTAATTCTTATGCCAAAGATCTACCAGTGGCTTCTCAAGCACAAAGCCATTCAATGCAAACTCTACTGTACCATTCTCACTCTCTATTTCTTTGCTAACTATTACACACCTCCTCATCCCACATATCCTATATATATAAAAACACATATAATTAATGTATATAATATATATATATATATAAATTTTTTTGGACCAGTTCACCAACCTCAGTATAAAACTCCATTTCTCTATCTGTAGTCAATAGTGCAGAAATGATTTAAAAGTAAGTCATTTTCTCTAATGGAGGAGTTGTATAGGTAAACAGGGGGAGGATGAGTGTGTGTATCTCCAATATTCTTCAGTAAAGAGCCCATCTAAGTAAAAGTAAGTATTTTTCTTTTAATTAATTTTATGCCACTGAACTCAACACAGATCACCAAGACCAAAACTGAGGTAGAGTGTGATTTACCTTTTGCCATAAGTCAGCTTTTAAATTAATTACATTTAAGAAGTAATGGTGTGAAATAGGCATGCTTATGTTGTTGGACAGATATATAGTGGTATGATTAATTCAGAAAACATGAATTCTGCTTTTTATAAGAATAGATTTAGAAACGCTCATGCTTCTAACCCAGTCTTCCCGTTTCTGAGAATCTCTATTAAGGAAAAATCTTTAATACATGGAAAGCTTTACTTAGAAATATACACTATTTAGGCTTGAAAAAGCTATGAAACGACCTAAATTCCCAACCATAAGAAAATAATTGGGCGACATCTGGGGCCCCCCTCTCTTGGGACCCCAGAACCTCATCCAGGAGTGTATAATAAAGCCACAGGGTTTGGCCCCCACTCTTTCTCTATCTCTGTCTTTTCTTTTTTCTCTTTTTTTGAGACAAGAGTCTCACTTTGTGGCCCAGGCTAGGGTGAGTGCCATGGCGTCAGCCTAGCTCACAGCAACCTCAAACTCCTGGGCTCAAGCAATTCTTATTGCCTTAGCTTCCCAAGTAGCTGGGACTATAGGCATGTGCCACCATGCCCAGCTAATTTTTTCTATACATATTTGTTGGCCAATTAATTTATTTCTATTTATAGTGGAGACAGGGTCTTGCTCTTGCTCAGGCTGGTTTCGAACTCCTGACCTTGAGCAATCCACCCACCGCTGCCTCCCAGAGAGCTAGGATTACAGGTGTAAGCCACCGCACCCAGCCTGTCTTTTCTTTTTGCCTGTGCCGAAAAACCTTACAGTTTCACCTACTAAAAAGGTTCATATTTTGCAGTTTGGTTGTCAAGGTATATTACAGTTGGACCCCATAAAACCCTCTCAGCCATTTTTTTCTATACTCCTTATGATCCCACCACAGTGTTATCTTTCCTTTCCCAAACTCTAACCTTTATTTCTCCATGCCCAGGCCATTTCTGCCATAAAAAAAAATAAAATAAAATAAAATAAAATAAAATAAAATAAAATAAAATAAAATAAAATAAAAAGGAAAAAAGAAAAAAAGAAAAAATAATAATAATAATTTTTAAAAAAGAAAATAATTAAGTAAATATGACATATCTTCTTGATGAACTATCATTCCATGAAAATCAATTCTTGAATTTTGTTCAATGTTTATAATAACAAAGAAAATAAAAATAAGTAGAAAGGCAAAATATTTTCTAGATTACATGATAATTACAAGTGTTAAAAATAATTACAGAGGGGCCGGACGAGGTGGTTCATGCCTAAAATCCTAGTACTCTGGGAGGCCGAGGCAGGTGGATTGCTTGAGGTCAGGAGTTCGAAACCAGCCTGAGCAAGAGCGCGATCCTGTCTCTACCATAAATAGAAAGAAATTAATTGGCCAACTGATATATACAGAAAAAATTAGCCGGGCTTAGTGGCATATATCTGTAGTCCCAGCTACTCGGGAGGCTGAGGCAGTAGGATCGCTTGAGCCCAGGAGTTTGAGGTTGCTGTGAGCTAGGCTGACGCCACGGCACTCACTCTAGCCTGGGCAACAAAGCGAGACTCTGTCTCAAAAAAATAAATAAATAAATAATTACAGAGAAAATGGTTGGAAATATATCAAATGTTAACAAGAGTGGTCTTTAGATAGTAAGATTATGGTTGTCTGGCTACATTTCTTCTTTCACTTCCAAACTTTCTCTAATGAACATGTATTTTTAAACATTTATTTTTAAGGTAAAATTTAAAAATCAGAGAAGGAAGAAGAGAAAAGAAACAGGATCTGCAGTAATGACAGTGTCGTGGGCTACTGAAAATGAACAGACAGAGCTGGTGGTCTACAGATTAATATTAAGAGAAAGAAGAACTGGAAGGTAAATCTCTGCCTCTGATTTTAACCAGCTGAGATTGCTCCTTCCCCGCCGCCATGAAAATTACTAAATGGTTTTACACGTGAAGTGAGCGCATCATCCCAGTTCTGCAATTAGGCCTTCTTCTCACCACCACTGACCCTAGGAGCCTACATTCCCAAGGAAGTCTTGAAGAGAACTACAGAAAACCTTGAATTTACATAGCACGAGGCAGAACAGAAGTTAAAAGAAGTCAGAGGATCCAAACAAGAACACAGGCTGTTCCCTCTTTAGTAACTGGACAATAATGCTGGCCAGTGAACAATGGTGTTTACTAATATATATGATACTATGTATAACACTTCTGGTCTCCTTATTCTATTTTTCACTTTGTAATGCCAGCTTGGTTGCATGAACCTTGCTGGGTAGCCGTGAGTCACACAACCTGAGAGCGAATTCAAATCCAGATGATTTGGTTAGTCCACACTACTTTTGACCCTTTCAAATAAAATAAAAGAATCCACCTAGAACAGACGAGTCAAGAGTCTTTTAGAAAATGCATTGCTCTCTCCAAGCCAAGCCCCGCTCGATGGCTAACAGCCATGTCTCGGAGACCGAGGTTCCAAAGTGAGTGGAAAACTGAGGAGTTATACATTGTACTCAATCTCTCTTACAAGATGCTCTCTTTTCTCCAGCGAGGTGGGTATCCTTGGTCAGCCCCAAGAACAGACACTTATCTAGTGCCCTGGAGTCAGTGGGCAGTCTCTGAGGCTCTTTCAAAGTCCTTCCCACGGGCCAAATCATCTACCCAGCTCTCACCGGTAAAAGTGCTTTTGACAAGGCTGAGGCCTGTGGGAAGAACTCACCAGGATGGTGTCCCCGCTGAATAATTTACCATATCCACAAGTTAGAAAAGAGTGGTTTGAGCTCTGAAGCCACTTACTCCATAGACTTTAGTAGAAGTTTCCTGGAGACAGAAAAATACTAAAAGATAGAGAAAGGCCTCTATGGCTCATTTTCCTGTCCTATCCTTGCCCTCTATGGAGGATGGGGCAGCTGGGAGGATTCAGTGATTTTACTAAGTTAAGTCAGTTCAACAGTACCCAACATGCAGGAGACAGTGAATAGACATGGTCCCATTTGCACAGGGTATGGGGAGATGGCAAAAGTGAAGGATCCAGATTCTAGGCAGTTTTTACAACAGTGTTTAAAGTGTCACCAAGTGTTCTACAAGGCCTTCCCTTTAGGATTGTCATGAGCACAGAGTCAGACAAGGAATATAACGTGCTTCGTGCAGAGCCTGGTAGGTAAGAAACGTTCATGATATACCAAATGTTAACGACAGTGGTCTTCAGATAATAAGATTATGGATGACTGACTATATTTCTTCTTTCATTTCCAAATTTTCTCTAATGAACAATGAGATGGAACAACTAAGTGATAGAGAAACCAGCACAGCTCCTGGACACTCATGACCCAAAGTATTAAAATAATTTTCTATCTGGTGTATAGAACTGTATCTAAGGGCCTCTCTTGAGAAATCTCACCTTAATCTCTTCCTTAAGATGATATTTTTATTTGGGAAGTCTCTCTAGCAGATATAATTCTCTCTAACTCTACATGAAAGGATAAGTAATTTAGATATTTCTTTATAAAAACAAAACAGTCTAATTCTAACCTGTGAGTAGCATGAATCAACCATGTCGTAGGTGACGTGGGCTTCGTATTATTTTGGCTTGAAGGGATTTTCTTTAATACTTTGTTCTTTATTTTTTTTTTTTTTCACAGATAAAAACAAAACTGAACAGGAAACCAGCTCAAGAATAACTCATTCCTCAAGTGTGGGGCAAGAGATTTAAAACTTCACTCAAGAAAGACCGTAAGATTCCAAACTCAGAGAGTGCTGAAGAGCTTGTTCATCAGGAACACCAACTCACCAGCGTGAGCTTTGAGTATATGCGTTTTCAGCCGGCTGTTGTAGGAGGACTTGAAGGAGCAGAGTTTGCATCGGAATGGTTTATGGTGTCCGTGGTGGGTTTGCATATGGCGATCCAAACTTGATGCAGAAGGAAAAAAAGAAAATGCCAAGATTAAAAATTTCATACATTTTTCTCATTGCCCTTTTCCAGGAATCCCATTTCTAAGATGTTCAAAGCCCTTCTGTTTACTTTCCAATAATGGCACTTACCAGATTATTTCATTGGCAAGAGTTGTACTTACTCTAGGAGAAAGGGAAGCTAATGGAAGAAATCAAGACATCTTTTTGGACTGAAAGATATGGCAATGGTAACAGGTCATGGGAGACACCTTTATTTTGCTTCTCAGAGCACTGATAATTGGCAGAATGGATCCAAAAAGAGAAGGCACGACAAGATGGATGAATTCAAGTTTTCTGCCAAGCCAGTGTGAGCGCCTATCAATGTGTCTTCTAACTTACTCAAAAAGAGAATGGGAATTAGTGAAACTTAGCATTTGAAAAGGGCTGACTTCTTTTTAGATTTTCACTCTGCTTTTATGGTGAGCACTAGAGTAAGGAAGGGAGGTTCCAGAGTGGCTGACCATCTTGCAATGTGCTGTCTTGTTCTCAGCATCTATGTTAATATGCGGGCATGGTGCAAGCGTGCTTCAAGGACTCATGTCCTCAAAAGGCTGGCCATCCCTTCCGATAAACACAATCATGTTCGCTGTACATCAGTCCGCCAGAAGCAACTTATAAGGGAAGTTATTTAATTACAATGAACCTCTAGTACTTCATAATAATTACTAGTCTAAAAAAATAATAAATCTACCCTACAAGGTGTGGGAAGAAGTTCTAATTTGTATGTAGTACTCCAAAGAACTGAATTCCATTCTATATGACTCACATGGGAATGGTACTGCTTACCATTTAAACACATAATGCTCCCCTGAGCTCCAAAGCAACATTTTCAGTTGCCTCTGGACATCTCCCCCCTGCATGTCCTTTAGCTGTCTACACGTACCATGTCCTAAACAAACCCATCTGTTTTATCTACAAAGCAAATTCTCTTCTTCATTTCCTTGCTTCTATAAATGGCACTACCATTCTTTGAGCCAACCAGACTGAAAACCTCGATGCCCTTTGTACTTTGCTTTGTCCCTCATCCCATCATTAAGTCGATTTTTCCAAGTCATGCAGACCCATTCCCTCAACCATTCCCTAACTTCTTGGATCAGCTACTCTTACTTGCTTCTTAACTGGTCTCCTCAATCTTTTTTTTTTAACTCCAGAGCACAAGCTATGGAGTCAGACTGCCTGGGATAAAATCCCAGCTATTATTTATAAGCTGTGTGACCTGGGGTAAGTTATTCAACCTCTCTAGGCCTCACTTTTCTTATTCAGACAATGGAGTCAATAATGGAACCATACCTTATAGGGCTGTTTTCAGAATGAAAGGACATAATACTTGAAGGCACCTTAGTACAGTGCCTAATATATAGTGAGATGCAATAAATTGTAGCAATTATAATTACTTAACTAATTCCAGACTCTTCCTTTTTCCCAGTAATTTAAATTAGAAAATACTATTTCTTGGCACCTAAAAACTCCAACAAACATGGTCTCCACTCAAGTATTTAGACTTTATCTTCCACTACTCCTTTACATGTAACTTAAGGGTTAGTCAGAGTGAACCACCAGCTGGGCCTCCAACAGGCCTTGCCTTTCCCCCCTCAGCTTTTTCCTCCATAGTGCATGACTTTTCCAAACCACCCAAGTCTTATCTTCCTACTTTAAGACTTGACTCAAATGGTCTTTACTTCCTAAAACCTTCCCGACTCTTCCAAAGTAGATACAACATTTCCCCTTGTTGAAACTTGATAGTATTTTATTGTCTTTTTTAAAGACGTGCCTTACTTTGCTGAGGCACTTGTATGGTTGCTTTATAAACCAACCCTAGACCCTAAATCCCCATAGATTACAGACCATGTCCTAGTCATCTTCTCCCAGAGCACAGTGCCTGGCACAGGGTGTATTCATTTGTTCACAGTTATTCAGGGAGGCTCTGCTGTGTGTCAGACCATGTGACAGGTGCTGTTCAATAAATACTTAATGAATTGAAGAGCACTCCGCAAGTTTCAGGCCAACGTATGGATCTGATGACAAAGATTAGATATCCGGCTCTGTATCATAAGAAAAAGTTTACAGCCCATCCTAATCTCTGTACAGACATGGCTCCTGCTGCTTTTCAACAACCACTAACTAGAGCTTTACCTTTTTAAAGAAGCAAACAGCCCATCATTTATTTTCGATCATCATAAAAATAAACATGTCAGTCTTCTAATCAGTCACCCTCATCCAAGCCTGTCAGAATGCATTATTGAATATTCATCTCTGTCTTTTATACAGTTGAAAGGGAAAGGCAACAGAAAGTTGTTCTCAGAACTATCCCTCCTCCCATCACCCCAAAAAGCTTTGCATGCCTACCCCAGACTTATACTTTTAAAGCTGTGATGAGTGATGGGAAGGTCCCTCTCCTCAGCCTCCTTGTATTTCAAGCAACTCTTTGGCAACCATAAACTTCTTTCCTGTTCAAGGTCTTTTGAAAAATCACAACCAATGATGCTTTGGTGACACGGGTTAATAGTGCTAATTTGACCTCTTTAAGAGCTCAGTTTTCCAAAGGGAACTTTACCATTTCCTTAAAGGAGAAACAGACTTCGGCTGAAGGTTTGACAAACGCATCAGTAAACTCATCTCCTCCCTGTGTCCCTGTCTTCTCTTGGGTAATTCATAGCCATTCCTCCAATGCTCATCTTTAGAATGCCTGTATTTGTGAAATTTAATGCCATCCAATTAATCTCCTGTTCTTAGCTCCATTTTACAGATGAGGCTCCAGGTGACACAGCAGCAGGTGTGAACCATGAGTGGGGCCTTCTTACTCATCTCAACTTCTCCCACTCTAGCTTAGCTTTTGCCTTCCACTATGACACCTTCTCCCAGTAGCCACCAGTGACCACCCAGTAGCACTTACTTGTGCCTGAAAGCAGAAACAAAGGAGCAATACTGGCAGCTGTACTTGTCCTCGCGGGTAAACATGGCCAGGGCCAGGTGGCTCCTCTCATGAGAACGCAGCCCCTGCATGGACATCAGGACTCTGTCACATTGCCTGCAATGGTATCCCCCCGGCCGGGTTTCATCCTCCAACATTCCATCAAGCAAGCAGTGTTCACTATCCACCCGGCCAACCAGGGCGCCACTGGCATCTTTGGCTGCTTCCAATCCATCCAGGAACAAGTGGGCAGGGTCTTCAGCCTCCTGCTAAGAGAACCACACACACACACATGCCCCACCAACAAAATAAATATCCATCGCCATTGCCCCCAGCTTTCCTCTTCTCCCTTCATTCTCCCAGACTCATCAGCATCTCCTGTCAAGGCTTCCTCCCCTGCCTCTCTGGCTCCCCCTAGAGGGAGGGCAAGCCCGCCTGCCATTCTTCATGCAGTGGTGGTGATCTGAAGGCATCGCATCTGGACACAGGTTGCTACCGCCTGGGATTTTGTGAGGGAGGGGCTCTCCCACTCTGAAGACAGTTCACTCACTTCTCCCCCTATCTTGAAAAGAAAATTCAAATTGCAATCCCATCTAAACTGGCATAAAGTTGGGTCAGGGTTATAGCTCAAAGGAAAGAGAGAAAGGAAGAAAGAGAAAAGAGCAGAGTAGTGTGGCCATCTGGGAGCCTGGGGTCTCAGATGCATCTGGAAAGGATGCAAAGCAAAGGACCCTTCTCTCTGTCCCCACCCCACAAACAGTGACTGCACCCCTTGACTGGAGGTTGCTGCATAACCGATTCAAAAAATGAAGGAGCAGCCTGGTTTTAAGTCACCCATTTTCTGAGGCTGCTCCTTGGATTACTGATCACACAGGATGAGACACTCTGTCTCTCTTACGGGGTCCCAGGAAACGAGCCTGGGACACACTGCCAGGGGTGTGTGGACGGAGCTGACTGCTGCTGTCCCTGGGCTGTCACTGTTCTGCCGAAAGACAGAAGGCTCCAGTCTTCAATGAAGAAAAATAGAGGCTTTACCTTCATGCTAAATTGGCAAAACAGGATGCAAGATCAAGAAGGGCAGATGACAAAAATATATGCATGTATCCAGAGAGAAAGGCCAGAACCCTGAAATGACTTCTGTGTTCATAAATGATAGGTGCTTAGCAATATCCTGGAAGACAGGGTTGGCAGCTGGGTTACTGAAACAGTGGCTACTATTAGGATCAGGATGTTCAAAACAGGTGGCCTAACGGAGGTTGGGGGTGGGGGAAGGCACTTATTAGCATCCTACGGGGAGAGAGGATGGAGGAGACAAACCAGGTCAAAGGCTAAGGGTTAATTGTGGCGCAAAGGTTTTTGGTTTTAAAGTTAATGTCTCTTGCACTCCCCAGAGGACCCAGGATAAGAAGTCAAAGACAGATTCTCCCGGGCTCTCTGCATCCTCAACCAGATGAGAACAGCAAGAAGTCAGGCAGTGGGAGAAGCAGAAGACGATGGGAACAGAACCCACTTGATTCCTCTCAAGAGCTCGGGCAACTCGGAAGAGCGAAGACCTAATGGCAACTAAACGCAGAATAGAAGGACGACCCGAAGCCTCCTAGACCGAGAATCCTGGAACTTCGGTTGCCACCAAACTATCCGCGTGGAAGGAAACCAGATCGAAACTCGACCTTTCCCTGAACAGAAAGATGAAGAAGGTCCAACCTGCAAAGAAATCAAAACAAGCCAAACCAATCCAAGCATAACTCAGGAATGCCCTCATACGGAGATGCTCTTTCCTGAGCTGCTTTAAGCAACGGGGTTAATCAGTAACTCGAACCGCTCACACACCAGAACGCTCATCCAGACCTTCCCGTTCTCACCTTCACAGTGGCTGACACAGCTGGGACATTGCCATACTGGACGTGCTTCCGGAGGTGATTGCAGATGGCTCGGAGCGTCGGGTGCACTTCCACACAGAATTTACACTTGTAGCCCACCACTTTCCTCTCCTTGGTCTTTGGCACCTCTTCTAAGTGACCAAAAGGCTGGTAAAATACAGTGGTAGCCATCAGTACTCCGAGCCCTCCCTCAGTTGCTGGAATTTATTCTTGCAGTTTACTAGCATATTTTACTTTAAAGCAGATTAGCAGGTTAAAAACCAAGGGAGATATAGGCGAGTATTTTTATATAACGAATTCATCAGAGTCGTGGCACACTGCCTACTATGCAAAGTCTCTGGAACCCAAAAATGTTAACGGCTTGTGAGTAGAGAAGATTCCTGTGCAGAAGCTCATCGTCACTGCCACTACGTTACCTGGTTTTCAAACCAGTTTCAACTACGCAGGTGAAACGTTGCATAGCTGCACCATTAATGAACTTCTTGATTTAAAAAAAAAAAAATCTACTCCTGGAGACGTTAGGTTCATGTAGCAAACACTGAAGACCAAGACACGGCTGAGAAGTGCTAATGATACCCAGAGACAGCCCACACTGCCTTAGGAGAGGGCGAGCATCGTCGTAAAACCAGGCTTCAGATAAGGCTACTTGGCAGAAGGACACACAGACACCACCCCACGGGGAGCCACGGAAGGAGTCAAAGGGAGGGAGGGAGGGGAACAGGACCGTGGAGAGGGGTGAGCACGGAACGGGGGATAGTCAAGCTCGAAACGTTTAATTGACTTATTGAGCTCTCTGGCAAGCTAAGTCACTAGGAAGCCTGCAGCAGTTTGGCTGGCAACGAAGAAGTGCATGTGGGCACCAGTGATGAGAGGCCTCCTGGGGGAAGGGAAATCAAAACATATCCTTACCCTCTCTTGTTTGAAATCTGCAAAAGCACCATCTGCATATTTCTGCTTGCTCAAAAGCTGTTTCCTCCTCTCCTGACGTTTGGCACGCTTCTGGAATTCCTCATTGTGAATGCTCAAGTGTGAGGTCAGCTCGGCTGTGCTTTGCAGTTTGCTATCACAGTGCTTACACTGGTAGGCTGAGTTCTGCAAGCGGGGGCCGTTGCCCAGAATTACGAAGTCCCTCTTGAGGTCCCGACTGTGGTGGTCAGTGTAATGCATGCACAGCAGCTCCGCCGTGCTGAAGGACAGCTTGAAGCACTTGATGCAGCGGAACGGGAGCCACTCGATTTCCTGGGCTTCGCCTTCCACCTCGGCTTTCTCAAAGCTGCCGCTTCTCTCCTCCTCTTCCATGAGCGGGGGCTTCTCGTGCTCGTCCGCGTAGACGGCGGTGAAGTAGCCCCCCAACTTGCTGGCGTGCTGCTTCTTCGGGAACACCCCCGGGTGGCGCTTCATGTAGTGGGACACGATGCCCTTCTTGCTGAACGACTGGAAGGCGCACAGGGAACACTTCTTCTTCTCCACCGCCCTCCGGAGCTCCTCGCTCAGCTGAGGGGAGTCGTCCTTGGGCGGGGACGGGATGATCACCTTGTTGGGCTTGTCGCTGATGGTCCTGGAGGCCGCCAGGCAGTGCGTGTAATACGCATCGATGTCGTGGCGCTTCTGGTAGTGGGCCGCCAGTCCTTTGCGGATGGGGTTGGTGTAGGCACACAGGGCACACTTGAAGAGGTTGTTCTTGCCCTCGGGCTGGGCGCGGACGTTGTTGTGCTTGATACGGTAGTGCCTGGCAATCCCCTTCCTCGTGGAGCAGAAGTACTTGCAGAGCTGGCACCGGAACACAGTGTGGGAGACCAGGTGCGAGGTAGAGAAGTGAGACGTGGACACGGGCTCCTCTCCCACCTCTTCCTCGGTGATGGAGACTTGGGAGGGGCTCACTTCAGTGGTCATCTCGGGCTCGAGGGGGACAGGCAGCTTCGGGGGCGACTGGGAAAAGACATCAAATTCGGGCTGATTGTGGTACTTCTCGTAGTGGATTTTGAGTTTCTCCAAAGTGCCGTGCGTGTACGGACACAGCTTGCACCGGTAGGCACCGTAGCCTTGCTTGAAGATCCTGCTGGTCTCCTCCACGTCGTTCTGGGATATGTCAGCCGACTGCTCCACGTCGTGCACAAAGTCCTCGGCGGTCACCTTGATGGACGGGTGTCGCTTCTGGTAGTGGGTCAGGACGCCGTGGATGCGGGTGTTGATGTACGGGCAATGCCTGCATTTGTAGACGGCCCCCGGGTTGATGTCGATGTCCTGGGCAAAGTCAGCGGCCTTCACCTTCATGCCGGGGTGCTTCTTCCCGTAATGGGTGAGAAGCCCGTGCAAGTTGTTGTACTCAGACTGGCACACGGTACACTGGTACGGGGTGGAGGAGATGGCGGGGTTGGCTGACGCCAGCTGCATGCTCTTCTCGGGGGAAAGTCTTGCGTCCTCTGGGCATTCGCCTTCCTGCTCCGGGAGCTGGGTGGGCATGCTGTTTTCACAATTCAGAGGGCCTGCCAGCTCTTCGGATGGAAGAAGGGGCTTCTCGATGGCATCTTTCTCTTTGATGATATCCAGCAGCACTGACTCATCGCCATTCATGGCCCAGGGGTGGAATGCTTGGTAGTGATTGGTGATGTCCCAGATGGAGACGGCTTCAAAAACACAGTCCCTGCATCGGTAGGTTTTGGCTTCGGCTGGCATCGTGAGAGAGGGAGGGGACGGGTCGGGCCCTGCCCAGAGTTTGGTGGCCATGTAAGTGTAATCGACGTAATGCTCGGGATGCCTCCTTTGGTAATGCAGGAGCAAACCGCTGGGCTCCATGTGGGAATAGATGCACCACTCGCAGTGGTAGCCAGCTTCTATCAAGCCATCCAGAAACGCCCATCGCATGATGGACGTGACCGTGGCCTTCAGGGCGGGGTGGTCTTTCTTGATATGCTTCCTCAGTGCATAGAAGTAGGGGGAGGTATACGAGCACTGCCTACATTTGAGCGCTCGCAGTTTAGTTTTGTCCCGCTCCACGTTCGGCGGGGGGATGAGCACACAGCTGGCAGGCTTCTTCTGGTTGCGGTCACAGAGGCTCCGGATGGTGGCCGTGTGCTGCCGGATCACGTCCGCGTTAGCCTTGAAGTCCCGGTGCTTCTTCTGGTAGTGGATGAGGACACCTTTGACCGTCCGGTTCCCGTAATCACAGTGCTGGCAAAAGAACATCTCGTTCTCCACGGGGGGGCCGTCTCTCTCAGAGCTGCTTCGGTTCAGCTGTGGCATGGGGGCGGGTGGCCGGGGGGAGCCTTGGGGCCCTTCGGCCCCTCTCATCATTGCAGCTGTGGGAGGAGCCTGTCTGATATATTTGGCAGTGACCTTTATCTCTGGGTGTCTCTTCTGGTAGTGGACAAGCACTCCCACAACTGACCGATTGCTGTAGGAGCAGTGTTTGCAGTAGTAAAGCTCAGTACTGAGGTCTGGTGGCGGGGGTTGTGGGGGGGGTGGGGAACCCATGTTGGACATTTTGGGAGACATTGGAGCACCCACCTCAAATGATAACTGAGAAAGGGCAGAGCCCCTGTCCACAGACACCATTCGCATGGTTTTCTGGATCCTAAAGTAGGAGGCCTTTTCTTCAGGGTGTTTCTTCTGGTAATGAACCAAGACAGAATGCATGTTGGGGCTTGCAAATGAGCAAACGTCACAATCGTAAACGACAACGGTGTTGACTGAAGGGTCCTTCTGATTTTCACATTCAGGAGTAAAGGTCTTTGAAGGAGTGTTTTTATTAAAGGTCGCTGGCATGCCGCCACCACGAGCCACGGGCGTGGACGTCGCCATGTTCTTGGGAGCCGAATTCAGAATCTCCCTCAGGGTCTGGGATTCAGTATTCAACCCTTCCTGCTGCTCCACGACGTAGCTTGAAAATATCATCGCGTTGTTGATCTTAACGGTGGGATGCATTCTTTGGTAATGTGGCATCAGGCTTCTAACATTCGGGCTCGTGTATGAGCAAAACCGACACCGGTAGATCAGGTCCGAATGGTCAAAGTTGAGCACATTCATGGCTTCTGGGTGGTGTTCGCCGTAATGCTGCTGGAGATCTTCGAAGTTGGTGTAATCAATGTAGCATTCCAGGCACCTGTACACCGCGCTGTGATCATTGGGGTCCAAGATGTACCTAAAGCTGAATTTAATGTACGGGTGCATTCGCTGGTAGTGGGTGCTAACACTCCGGGCAGACTTGTTGTTAAAGTCACAGTGTTTGCAATAGTAAAGCCTTCCAGAGTCACCAAAGTCCGTATTTTCGTTACTGTGCTCAGTTCCATAGATAGGAGTCTGGGTATTCAGCAGAGCGGTATTGGAAACTTGGTGATCTTTCATGTTTGTGGAGGAGCCGTAATAATCCTCTTCGTCTTCAGAAAGGGTGAGCTCAATCTCGGCCCCGTTGGTGGCGTTGTAATCGTGGGTGACACTTCTGAAGTTGGATTCCTTCTGGGGCTCACTGGCATCTCTCGCCCAAATCTGCTGGGCTGAAAAGGAGGTGGGCACCTCCATGATTGGTTCTGTCGGCTCTTCTTCCCTGTCCAACTCAACCTCTATCTCCACTTCGTTGTCTTCCTCTTCCTCCTCGTCATCCTCCACATTGATCACCGCGTCTTCCTGCTGTTTGGTTTGGTTGATTTTGCTCTGCAGGTTGCTTGCTATCTCGTCAATCCTGGTTCTCTTCTTCACGGGCGACAGATCGAGGGGAAAGTCATTAGCAAGCTTCCTAGAGGCCTTAGCTACAAAATTGTTCTTGGAGGACAACCCAAGAATTGAGGTCTGACTTTTCTTCACAGTGTTGCTGGAAGAGGGGTGGCTGTCTGTCTCATTTTCCAACGGGAGGCTTGAGGGCTGCCCCTCGAATTTTGGCAGGTTGTCACAGAACGAGTGTTTATGCTGCTGATGGACGCGTAGCCCTTTCAGAGTCGTGGTGGAGTAGCTGCACATGGTGCACTTGTAAGGGTGCAGGGGTGGCGCTTGTGTGGGTGGCGGTGGCGGCTGCGTGGGTGGCGGCTGCGGCTGCGGCGGCACCGGATGCGGCAGCTGCAGCTGCGGTGGCTGTGGCTGCTGCGGTGGCTGTGGCTGTGACGGTGGTGGTGGCGGCGGCGGCGGTGGTGGTGGCGGTGGCTGCTGCAAGGGATCCAACAAGACTCCTGTCTTCCTGCCGTTGATGCTGGGGCTCTCGTAGGACACCACGCCTTCGTTCAGCGAGGAAGAAATGCCTTCACTCTGGGAATTCACGGCATCCCAGTCTGACGTGGTACCCGTGTGACACTGTTTGTGAGCCCCAAGTTTCAAGGAGCTCTTGCAAGTAAACGGACATTCGTCACATTTGTAGACGGCTGTCTTTCCAGACAGGTGGATGTTTTCTATGTGGCGGGAGATACTTCGCCGATGCATGGTGAGGAAAGGGCAGAAGGGGCACTGGAACCTATTCATGAATCTTCTAAACGGAATCCCCTTGGTCTCCAAGAGTTTGTTGCCATCGGAGCCCATCAGCTGTTCTGCAGCCATGGCTGACGTCTGGTGATCCATAGCGTTTAGACCATTCTCACTGTCTATTTCGTTTAACTCTTCCTCAGAACTAGAGTCATTGAGCATGCTGTTAGTTTCCAGGTCAGCAGAGGAATTGGTCATGTCAGTCATTCCGTAACGGGATCTCTCTGCCAAGCTAACGAGGCCAGAATTGTGAGGTGACTTCGGCTTCATCTGAGGGTAAGACATGGGCGAAAACTTGGAAGCGGAAGAAGAATTGGGTCTCATGATGGAGTTGCTGATGGAGCCCCTGTAGCTGGAGACGGTAGTATTGGGTATCTCCCGGCTTGCAGCATTCATGGACAGATAGGTGGAGTTGGAAGTGGGGCTGGGGGCACTCTTCTGCACATCCGGTACACTGGTCCCTTCTTGCTGCTGTCTGAGACTGGAGAGGATCTTGACCATGCTGCGGTGTTTCTTCATCATGTGGTCGCACCAGCGTTCTCGGCGGGGGGTCTGGTAGCTGCACCACTCACAACAGAAGTTGCCTCGAGACTTGGTCAAAGGCTTGACCATGGATTCTAAGATGCTGCGCTCCACGACCTCTGCTGGCAGCTCCTTGCAGGGGTCCTGCAGGGACACGGGCGGAACCATGGGGTCTGGCATCGGAGCGGGAGCGGGAGGGGCAGTGCTGGTCTCCTTCAAGTTGTTTTTGTGATACATCTTCTGGTGCTTCATTATCCTTGCCCTCCTTGGTGACTTGTATGTGCAAAACTGGCAAGAGAAGACCTTTCCAAATCCCTCGTGCATCATGATGTTATAATTTAAGGATCCTGGGACAGGGGGTCCTGCTGAACTCCCTTCAGCTTGAGCTCCATGGACCTTCCTAGTGTGTTCTATGAGGAGGTTTTTTGACCTGAAGTAGCGTACGCAGAACTTGCATTGAAAAAACTTGTTCATTGGTTTGGGATTAGCGGCAATATGCTGACCGTAATATCCTGCACTGTGGCCATAGTAACTTCCCGTCCCCAATGCAGCTGCATTTTGACCTAAAGAGTAAACAAAAGGAGAGTGAGAAGAGAAAAACAAAGCAAAAGAAAATTAAGAAATTCAATCATGCAAATCAGCATCATTTCAATTATTCTTCATTAATAAACATCACATTCAAAAGGCCTGAGTCTCAAGATGGGGCCCTAAAGAGTACCCACGGAGCATTATGAATGCACATATATTGTACCTTCTCACGGATGAAGATGCAACATACAGCTTTAGGTACAACACTCTCTTCATCTCCATATGTGAGCTGCGTGGCTATAAAAATGCAAGTTCACAACCTACAAAATATTTATTCTAGAACTTTCCACCCTACTACCTGTTCTCAAAATTAAAAGGAAACTAGGAGACATGAGAAAGCCAAAAAGACAATAAACCTAGGTATCAATACCTGAGAGAAACGTGATGCCTAAAGCACAAAAATGGTTCCCAAAGAGCAAGAAACTCTGCAAAAGCCACATGTAATGAAGAACCACGGCTACAGGCTAAAAAGAAACAAAGGCAAATGAGAATATACCAGATACGCTGAGCTTCACATAGATTTACCTGATAAATCCTCCGCAATCGCAAATTCGTCCTTTATAGATGAAAACTCCACCTCTGTCTGATTGCTGGCGTTCATGGACCCGGATCGTGGCTCATCACCATTGTCCTCGGCCACGTCAGTTGGCTGCAGAAATGCCGTGTGGACATCCTGAATGTGCGCCTTGAGATCTTCGTAAGACGGGGCTCTGAAATCACAGCCATCACACTGAAGCACCTCCATGGTCTTGTCTGCCCTCTCACATTAGGAACCTGTGGCGGGAGTCAGAACAAAACATCTTAAGGAAAGCACTCATCATGCACCTCCAGCCGACGGGGAGATACATCCACTGATGGGAAGAAATTCCAGTATGGGTAGATTTCTCTTACTAGACTCTGCCGACGGGAACATCGGCCAAAGAAAGGCGATCATACATAATAGGGATTATGCCCTTGACTGCCAAACTTCAAAGAAGAAAACAAACCCAGATAAACATTTTCTGGTTTCGCATATCTTCAAATGCCATTAGTCAAGGAAATCCTTAATCACTTCAAAAGTTTTAAAAGTTTCTGAGTTTCCCCACAGAATCCAAATTTCTTGGTAACTTAGTACTGACTTTTACTGTGCCTTGGACTCTTTTTTTTTTGTTTTTTTCCAACCAGAACCTTCTCAGAGGTAAAGAAGATGTCCACACAGAAGAAAGGGAAAATTTCAATCTTCATTAGCTGTTTTAATATTATGACATTGGTGTTTTATCACCAAATGGCAAAATAGTATTGAATCTTGAGAATGATAATGGAGAAGTTTTTTGTAGCTTTTAGTATATTAAGATCTTTCCTGATATTGGGGTACACCTCTTTCCTCCCTTCTCCAAATAGTTTAGTTGAGTTTATTTCATGAGCTAAATGGTTATTTGCTCTTTTACTATCTACCAATTATAACCTAACAGCTTCTTCAATCTAATTAGGTCATAAAATATTTCTCATGAGGTTTTCAAACAACCGAGTTTGTAATGACAAGCCAGTTTCTAGTTTAAAGTTGCACCTTGGTGTCTCAATTTACATTAAGACAACTGAAACTCGCAGTTTTGAAGAGGGGCTACTAAGTTGTGACTTCATCTTTTTTCCACTTCTCTCCTTTACAAGCATGAAGTATATAATGGGATGCAAAAAGTTGTGAACCTGGTGTGGAATAAAGCAAAACTTGTCCAGCTATCATAATTCTGCAAGTTACTGTGTGACTGAAATAGATAGAAAGCTTCCCCCAACTCAATGGAGAGTTCCACCATTAAATGTATTCGAAAGGTGTAGTCCTTCCTATCTTAACACATCTCCTATGTCCAGATACTCAGTTATTATCTTAATGAGTGAGTTACTTCTTTAAGCTTACCACAAACTCTACAGAGTCATTGTAATCTAGAACCAGATGTCCAAGAACTGAAGTTGTAGCCAAATCTATTTTACCATGCAATGCTCTATACCTTTATTGTAAAATTTAAATGATTTATGCAGGAGGAACAAAGCCCAGTGCTAACATGTCAATGTAGTGCAAGGAGCCATCGCATGAGGGTTTTCTATGAAAGCATGAGCCTCCTGATCGCCTGCTAAAATAACTTCTGGCAAGTCCAGCTCTGGACAGACTGAGCTTGCAGAGGGAGACACAGATATTTACCTCCTCTTCTTTCACCCAGCAATTTATCCTTTTTTCAATAAACATTGAACTGTTCACCGGAGTCTTTTCAGCGAAGTCTCAATATTCCAGATACACAAGCTTTTATGTCTAAGCACCAACCCAAATTGTGTGGAAGAGGTTGCTATCAGCTCTGGATCAAATTACAGCAGTCACTGAGGCCCCACCCCACGTCTCCTTTCGCACAGTCCATTAGACCTGAAAACAAATTTTTCCATGGTGCAGACGACTCCTGCATTTAGAACACTTCACAGAAAAAAGCAGATCCTCCAGTGTGCACTCCCCATCCCCCAAGCTTAGTCCTTTCATCTCAGCCAAACAAGCCACAGCTCTGCTGAATGTGTTTATCACACTTTCAAGAGATATGAGCTCCTGCGTCACTGAAGCTCTAAGACTCACTAAGCTGCCCTAGTCCTCTGAGCTTTAGGAGCAGCCATTTTAGCTCAGAGCTTCTCCTCCGTGCACAACATGGCTTCTCCTGGCTCCTGCTAGGCTAGCAATCAGAAATGAACGCTGGAGGAGCAGGCTGGGCTCCTATGCTCTTTCTTCTCTTCCCAACACAGAATTAACTGTTTTCATTACTCTCCGAAAAGCAGCACCTTTCTCCTCCTCCAATGTCATTCACCAGGATCTCCAAAGGTTCTTTTATTCCATGATTGATATGCTGGTTCATTAGTCCCAGCAGAGCCCTGCTTAGAGCAGGATGACCCTGGACCAGACCCTGTTCTACAGCAGGATTTGGGGGTGCGGCGGGGGGAAGGGGGGCACCTCCAGAATGCCTTGGCTTCTTGGGAGTCGTCCTTCCACACACAGAAGACATACCATCCGACTCTGCTTGCCAGATTCCAAAGTCTAATGACCTTTGTTAATCACCAGCCAGTCTGTCTGCATCAGCAGACCCTGCCAACAGACACACCCTTCAACACAAAGGCTGTAGCTATTCCTTTTAAAAGAGGTTCTCTGAAAGCTCCATTGTGTAGCCGAGAGGAAAACAAAATCTCTTCCCTTCAAAACTTCAAGCCTTTAGAAATAATGCAACAAAAGCCTTTCTGCTGCGTGTCTTTTGGAAAGTTTTGAGCCTGGTTTGCACAACATCAACAAAAATCACGGTTCTGCACAATGAAAGCAGGGCACCTTCAGCATTAAGTCATCCACCTGGAGATGAAATTCATCTCTCTTTGCAGCTCTCTAATATCTTGGTGTCTTCTGAAGCTGTTATCAAGGATGCTAACTTCACCGGCTACAAACACAAACTAACAGTCTCCTTGTTCTGCTACAAAGGAGATTAAAGGGTTATGAGATCAGAAAAAAAGAGCCACTGATTTGGAAAACGAAGAGATGATGAAAGTGATTTCCTAATGGGTTCTAGCTTTAATGTCGTTGCAGTCTCTGTCTCAAAAATAGCTCAGAGCCTTAGAAGAGGTTAATCTCCAGGCCGCTGAGAGAACCAGCGTCAGGTAGAGCTGAACTGCCTTCAATTTGATGTCTGCACTGAGTACTGAAATGAGGATGTAGCCTACTTTGAAAGCCATCTTGCCTTTGTGTGTACGTATCTCCTGAAGACACTGACAGAAGAAAACAGAAATTGCTAGCACGGCCCAAACAATCAAAGATACTGAACTTGATGTGTTTATGAGACTGTGGATGTATACATGTGCAAAAAGTGAGAGCAGGAGGAGAAAGGAGTAGGGAAGGATGGAGACATAGAAAACCGGGCATGAGGATGACCCAGCAGACAGTAATCCTCTCACAAACCAGCAACAAGAAAAAAAAAAGATGCGAAATAAGCTCTGCATATTTGACAGCTTTATCAACCCAGAAGAGCAACAACCCTAAGAGGCTAAACTAGACACTGATCTGCTACAAAATTAAGATTGAAAGTTAAAAGCCTTGATCTCGTATCATTTAATAATACTGTGATTAAGAGATGAGCAATATTTTTTTTCCTCACCAAATCAGCACAATCAAAAGCAGAAGAGGAAGTGTCTGAAGTAACTAAAAAGAGATGCTATTTCAAAAGGTCATGAGATGAACCTACAAATCAAATGAGCACCCCCATCTCCTACCCCTAATGCAGTATCTCCAGGCCCCTCAAGGTCAAATAGGCTTCAGATGACTCTGAACGTCACCCATGGTGACACCTGACAGATGATTCCAGATTCATTCTAAATAACCTATAGCAACTAATGTAATTGGTCCTCCTAAATGCAACCCCTACACCACCCTAATTATTTATTGTTCTTTAGTTCTACTTATTGCTGGTTGTTGGCTGGGTCAGTTTGCATTTATAGTTGGGGGATTTCAAAATGTGGGTGGGGTTCTGATGTGAAACCCAAAACCCAATTGTCCATGTCTGACAAACTCTTGAAGATATATTTAAAGAAGGTCCACAGATCATGTTAAAGATTTGGAATATATACATGGGAATGGGGAAAGACAAATTATGGACACAGGCTGCTCTTTCTCAATCTTAGGAACACCAATTTTAATTTATACCGTTTGCCCACCCATGTTTCTGTACTCAGAATTCCAGGGATATGTTATGCCTCAGTTTTTCCTCCCTCGAAGAAGAAAGGAGACAAACCCCAGCTTCACTGCGTGACCTTCCAACTCACTGCTCAGACGTAACTGGAGCGGGGAGGTGTCCTTGACGTCTTGCAGCATTCCTACAAGCCTGCCACCATCAACCCTGGTCCACGTCAGCTTGGTAAACACTGCTCTTTAAGCTGAATGGCCCAGGAGCATAAACATGGTCCTCAAGTCAAAATCCCAACTGTCTCCATGAAGTGACCAAATTAAAACGCACAGGCCTTGCCTGGATCTAACCTGTTCTCTGGCTGAAGGACTGCAGACCAGAAATAAAGCCGTGGAGCGCCACAGCCATGTGATTCAGTAGCGACTAATTATAACCTTCAAAGCCTTTGAGAAATAGAACCAGAAACACCATAAGGTGCTTTTCCTCTGTCCACTCCAGAAACCTAGTTTCATTTGTAAGACACTGAGCTCCCCAGGTCTCCTCAATCACAATTCTAATAAAAAACTTTCGTGAGCACCTGTTGTTTGTGCTTTTCTTACTTTCCCACGAATGGAAAAACCAATTATCCAAGGACAGGTAATAGAATGCATAAACTTTGGAATAGTCCGGCTTGAAAGACAGTCAACTCAAGAACCTAAAGGTCATTCTAAAAAATGTTATTTACAGATCCGAAACTGTTGCTATCACGAGGTTAAAGGGTTGTGGTGTGGACTGCAAGGTTAATATTTCTAATTGCAACCCCAGGACCTTGGGATGAAAATAATTAAGGAATTCAGAAGGGTGACACACTAATTAATAAAGTTGTAAATGTTGGGTTGCTATTCTTAGCAATAAGGGGGTTTCTATATCACTACTAATCAATTACTCTCATCATGGCTAAAGTGGAAGTTCTAATAATTTAATAAGCATTTAAGGCATCTTTCCAAAGAGTACTGAACTGAGAAATTGAGGTGAAATCTCTTTCAGGAATACTGGTTATGGAATCAAAACTATAAATGCAAATATAGAATGTCCAAATTTATATGTATATATATAATTAATTTTCTTGATTTAATTTTAACGCAGATATGGGCATGTACACTCCAAATTTCACAAGAGCTAGGGCAGAATCAGTCCTATTCCCATGTTATAGTTTAAAAAAAACAAACCGGCAAAATAGACCAACAAGCTAACTCCAAACGATCCCACAGCATTTGTTAGTACTATAGATCCTGGCTCACTATGTGGTCTTCAAATGTCCTATCAAATGTTTATACTGTTTGCTACATGATCTAAGCAGTTCTGTGTACTCTTGGCAATTCACCACACTAATGAAAGGTTTAACATATCAGGGAGGATAAATAATTAAGGAATTCAGAAGGGAGACACAGCTGTCCTTCACAACCAAATTTTCAGGAGAGAAAGGATTAATTTGCAATCACATATGTAACCCCCAATATGAGACTGAATTTAAATAGTCACAAGGAAATGCCAGGAGACCAAGTCCTGCCAATGCAGGTGGCCTCTGTTGTGCATAGTCAGCCCCGTCTATCTGTGGGACCTTGTACATAAGCACAGTGTCTGAAGCAGGCCATCTGCAGATGGATAACCCAGTCACCTTGTGGCCAACAATGCTAGTCTTCAGGTTATATTTTATTTTGGGTTTGCTCTCCTTCATAAAGTTTTCAAGTATTATAGAGCAAATTGGTGTAATATTTCATAACAGATACCTTGGGGATCATCATTAAAATGAGATGAGCATCTGGGGATATAACCCAAGTGGCTAAAAAAACGTTGGATATGTAAATAAGTGATTCTGGTTGAGTGACCTGTTATGAAAGCAGGTAGTGACTGTCTAATACAGAAAGAGATACTACATACCTTCTGGAGAATTCATGCATTCCTTTGCAATGATATAAGGCTAATTGAGGCCAACAGGCCAGGAGGCAGTCTGCCAGCTCTCCTGTCCTTAGAAAAGGAAGCGTGTGATTTGAACGAGGAGATAAAAGGAGAGAAGGGACCAGAAAAGAAAGGGAGGAAGCCTGGTGGTATCTCAGTACCTTCAGATTTCATTGTCTGTAAAGGGGAACCTGCAGTTCCCTAGATAACTCTAATTCTGAGAGTGTTCTGACGATAATTCTAAGAGTGTCACGAGATTTGTCTGAGAAACAAAACAAAACAAAATGAAGACGCCTCCCCCTCACTGAAATTCTCAAAATGCAACCAAGACAAATGACATTCCAGCTCATCACGTCCTTTCAAATGATGGGAACCCATTCTTGGTGTCAAGTGAATACATGAGAAGCGATAAGTATAGACGAATGAAATGTCATGGGTTCATCGGGAAGTTCCTTGGAAACTTTGAAGCCATCCTTGCCCCCGCATTTAGAACAAGAGATAACCCATTTCTTTCCTCCAGAGCCAAACCTCGCCCAAACAGCAGAGTTAGAAAATCACGGTGTTCCCTTATAGACTCTTCAGAATGCTGGCTGGGTTTCTACAGGCACTTTCCACGCTACAAGAGCTCTCATCATAAAAATTGTAAAATTAAAGGGAAGTTGCAGACACGCTGCTGGGTCTTCATTACAGAACTGATTAAGACGCAGAGTAAGCAGAGGCAGGGGTAAAAGTCATCTTCCATATCACGGAAGACCCACACGGGCCTCAGAGTACTTTTCCTGCGAGTCTGCCAGCCAGACTGACCTCAGGCCCTGGACGTGTCCTCGTGGCCAAAACTGTTCTTGGCTCCTAAGATCCAGCCAAACACACCAAGCCTCAAGTCTACGGTTTCAGTCAACGAATCCAGAAACCACTTTAACAACTTACCTTGTTCTCTATAATTATTCAAAGAAAAAAAAATGACGTATGGCTAGTGATTTACAGAGGGTGTAAGAAAATTTCACCAGAAGTTCTTTTACTTGAGGAAAAAGCCACAAAAATCCCAATTTCATCTCTCTGATGCTTGCTCACTCTTGTGTGTGTGTGGTTCGCTCGAAAAATTCAGAGAAGTCACTTCCCTTAGATTAGAATTGTCCCATGCCTGCCTTTATCAGTGGCTGGCCCTGAAATAAAAATAACCCTTCCAGCCAGTCTGATTTCTTATAGCAGACAAAACTGATTACCTACTCCTGAGTTTGTCTATCTTTCTCTGTCCAAACCATGGTTCCTGATTTAACTACCTTTGCCTGGATCAAAGTCCTAAGCAGTCTGCTTTTAGAAAAGACAAACAGTGGCTGGGCCTATGTGGACTGTGAACACCTTCATGTCCTCCTACCCAAGGAGAATGCAATTTTTTCCCTCTCTTCTTGGCCTCCACCTGTAGCAGAAGCTATTAGAAGGCTATCCTTCCTTCCTCCTTATCAAACTAAGCAACTGGCCCATTCGAACCCATTGGTTTTCCCACCTTTGCTTCAACAAATAACAGATCCTTAATAATAGGAAAAACAGTATATATTTATAGTGGCAGAAGACCAAGAATTAGAATTAAAAAAAAAAATGATAGCTAAGAAATGTCTTTTCTCTTACAATCCATAATCTACATTCAGCAAGTAACCTAAAGATTACTGTACCCCAAGAACTGAGCAGACAGTTAGACATTTGCCTGCCAACACAATGGCAGAATTTGTCAATACATGAAAACATTGCAATGCTCAGGTACTCAGTCAAGCTTTATATTCCATAAATACTTCATGATAAATCCCACTTTTGCCCAATAAACTTAGGTTTCTTAGCTTTTTTCACTATTGGGCTGTTCTTCAAAGAAAAAAAAAAACATACAGAAATGCCCATCCAGCCAATTAAGGAATTTGTTCACAGGTCACTAAAACCAAAAAGTGACACTAAGTGTGATGTCTCTACCTGCCATCTTCACCTTGAGCAAGTCTTTTGAGGCCCTCACTTTGATCATTTTGCTAAATGAAGAGATTAGATTATGACGTTCAACCTTTTTATACAAAGGACCTGCTTTACAAGATTTCCTTCTCATATTTTGAAAGATTTTTTTTTCCCTGATTCAATTCATTCCCTTACTTTATTATTCAGAGACACATAAATGCCAGTCTTCGTGTGTGACTGCCTTCTTATCATTCAAGTCTGGGCTTAAAGGTTCTGTCCTCCGTGGGTTTTCCCTGACAACCCTGTCTAATGTTAGCCACCACCACCACCACCCCGCCCCCATGAAATCAAAGCCCCTACTCACACCTCCAGCCCACACTCCGTTTCTCTCTACCACAATACCCCACTTTATTTCCTTCGCTGTCAGCATGATTCTCGTTTGTTTACGGTCTGTGTTCTTCCCCCAGAACACAAGCACCCTGAGAGTGGGTCTACGTCTGCCTTGTTCACATTGGTGTCTTCAGCCTTGGACATGGTGTGCTCCATACACTCACAGGTACTCAGTTCATGTGTTGAATGAAGGAAGGAACAAATGAATGAATGAATCAGGCTTCTGAATAACAGGATTCCAAACAAACATAAAAAAGCTTGGCCATGAACATTAGATTCTTCTACTAACCCTGTGTTATCATAAAGCCGTGGTCCCAACCACAGGCAATTCTGCTCCCTATCAGCTCCAACCTGGGGATAATTGACAACATCTTCAGACATTTTTAGCTATCACAACCAGCGGGGAAGTGGTGTTGGCATCTAGGGAGTAGAGGCTAGGGATGCTGCTAAACATTCGACAATGCACAGGACGGCCCTCTCGAGAAAGAATTAAGGTCCAAATGTTAATAACGCTGAGGCTGGAAACGGTCACCGGTCACCGGTGATCTCTTGGTATTTTCAGACTTTGCATATAACCCTCCTGCCTTTACAAGCCCTGCATGGTGGAATCTCTGGACCAGAGAATCAACAAGTTCTCTCCTCACTCTAAGATTTTATGATTCGATAGTTCTAAATGATCTTAGCAGCCCTCATGCCATATGGTAGCATGAGTTTTTAACATATCTTTTCTGAGTTGGGTATTTTACCAAGACTCTTTAAAAAAATCCAAGATTAAGGCACTGACTGGCCCATCTTTCTTAGTGACAAGGCCCTTGCACTCACCCTTGTGCTGTTGATGATCCTGTGGGTTTTGCGAGTATGTCATTAAAATAGCCAAGTTCTACACTTGGCATGTGGCCTCCAACTGAAACTTCTGTGAAAAACACAGTACATTTTCTCCCCTCCAATGTGGAAAATTATCTTCTTTCAAAGTGATAGGGCCGCAGGCTACTTAAAATCACTCTTCAGAGGATAAGTAATGTGTTCGTTTCTTTCTGTCCTTTTATCCCCAGGGCCCAGCACAGGTCTGGCCCTGATGAGATCTGCGGTACAAATGACTGGCTGTGAGCATGCCTGCTTTCCAGGAGAAAATTAACCAGTGGCACCAAATCAAATTCAACTTTTAGGAACCTAAGCAAGTGCAGAGAGCATCCATGACAAGAAAAACAACATAAAACAAAATTTAATGCTATATGACACTCCCCACTCCAACCAATAAAGCAAATGAAGCAACATTATAAGTAATTAGCTGACTACTGGAATGCTAGGAATTCTAAGTCCTGATTTGTCCTTGAGATTTAAGTAAGTGGCCATCTCCTTTTCCTCATCACCCGTGGGAAGGTGCTTCTGGCCGCGCTGTTCCACTCATGTATTTGTGACACTGCTAAGCTACCCCCATCTGATGTGACACCTGAAGTCATCACCTGTGCCTACATGCTTGAGACCATGTGTTTACCTTTCCTTCACAAAATCTTTCTCTTCTTGTTTGGAAAGCCTGAGGAATAATTCTGCCCTATAGCTCAAAGCCATATAAACATTTTCAGTAGAGGGAAGTGTAACAAAATTAGGTAGAAGCAGAATTTTCTCTCCTTGGCCTCTCTGAAAAATATTTAAACAATGTGTTATTTGTGCCTTCCTTAAATCAAAAAGAAGAATCCACTCTAAAAGTTAACCGCCAATAGGCTCATAATGCCCACTAGAGAAGAGATCTTAAATACCCTATAGTCCAGCATCTTCACTTTTCAGATAGATAAACTGATATCTCAAGAAAAATAACCTGCCAGAGCCTTCTAGAACACAAATTCTCTCAAGTCAGGAAAAAAAAAAATCTTTTGAAGTCAGTAATTTGACAATGGGGCTAACCAGTAAAGACACTCCATGACTGTTATTTAATTCACCAACAGCTATTCACTCTTACAGTCCATGCCCCATATATTCTCAGCAATAAGAGTTTTCACTTGGGAGGCACATTCCATAATAATCACCAAAGTCTCCTCTGCCCTGAATTCACACTCAGGAGAGTAACTGATAAGGTGCAAAGAACTTCTTAGGCATGCAAGCAGTGTGTTCATACTTTGGAAACACATTTGGAAGACTGAAAGTTGCTGACAAAGGTAAACACAGAAGAACAAAAGCTGTAACACTGAATTTTCTTTCTTTAGAATCCAACCTTATAGAATCAGAACAAGGTTATGTAGTAGCTTTATGCCTGTCAAATCTAGCCCATGAGAAACATCGTCATGTTTCTTATGGAAAATGTGCACAGCCAACAAAGTCACTGAAGAGTCTGGATGAATGAGCCTTAGGGGTATCTAGAGATATCAGGGTCAGTGCATGTAAAATGGAAAAGGGAAGAGCAGTCAGTCCTACAACACCTGGCAAGAAAGCCAGCCTCTTTGTGGCACATCTAAATGAGTGGCTCAGACCAATAATACCAGAATATTGTTGATACTGGATTTCATTTCAAACTTTATATACTAATAGCACATTGAAACCAACTGCAACTTTGAATATTCTTCTACATTTACTAATATGTTAATTTATCTTTATCCTTTATTTCCTTATTTATCTAATTTTATTTCTGGTTTATTTCTGGATATCTATACTCATTTGTTGGATATAAAAAAAAAGCTAAATGCATCAGAAAGTCTGGGCGTCCTCTTTAACTGTTTAAATATTTTCCATAATGATCTCTTATAAAAGGATCCCTTTATCATTCTGAAGAGAATGGCTTAGAAACCAAGAAGAGACTGACATCTCCACATTTGTTCACATTTTTCTCCATGAGGTAGAATAATTTTACCTATATTTTAAAAGGTCCAAATAATTTCCATTATTTAAGATACTGGTTCTCAAAGTCTGGTCCCTGAAACCAGTAGCAGCAGCATCACCCAAAAACTTGTAAGAAATGCAAGTTCTCAGGATCCACCCCAGACCTGAATCAGAAACTCTGAAGATGAGGTCCAGTAATCTGTTTTAACATACTCTCAGGCTGCTTCTGGTGCTTGCTCAAGTTTTAAGACCAAGCTCAAATTTTTCTTCCCATATGGAACAATCCCTAAGACCACTAGCTGGAACAGTGAGTGTGCTCTTCTCCACTGCACTGGAACCCTACTTTAAAATGCTGTTGACTGAATGAATGCAATAATATCTGTGCAGTCCTTGGAGAACATAGGGCAGGCCGTTTGTGATACTTAACTTCTTATTTGCCAATTAATGGGAAAATACTAAGTTACAGACCCAGCATCAAATGCTTAGAAAAGCACATGCATAAAAGACGATTACTGTTCTTGAAAGAATGAATATTGTGGCCAATGTAATGTTGACAGTGATATTCATCTCCCTTAAGAACTTCAGAAGGGTTCATGACGTGGTGTCCCTGCTATTTCTAAAGTAGGACATGGCAATCCACAAAGGAAAGAATCAGAGTATTTTATCCAGAAAATACTAAGAGTTGGGTGAGTCTTCAGCATTCCAGACTCTTCCATGACAGGAAGCTTTTGTGATAAACAAAATCTTATTAAAAAATACCTCCAAACTTGCAGTGGTCATTTGATGTTTGCACTAAATCTACAGTGTAGAGCTCAACTCTCAGTAAGAACGAACATCTGAAGACACAGATGTGTTTGGAAATCCCACAGAAGAAGAATATGTGCTTTAAGCTAACCAAGGAACTTCCCAGAAAAAAATGGTGGCTCATTGTCTCAAACTGCTAACAAAGGCATGGCTGAAAGAAGAGAAGAGAACATAGACAAAGAACAGAAGAGTTTGGACACACCAAACCAACAGATCTACAGGACCCTCAAGTCAAATGCAGGACTTAAAACTTAGAATCACAGAGTTCTGAGATAAAATTCATCAACTGTGTCCTGCTCAGGAACCTAGCCAGGACCCTTTGAAACTGCTGAACGACTACAGAAGAAAGACAAAACATCAAGACTCAAGTTCAAGTCCTGAAAGCAGAATTAAGAAGGGGATTTAAAGAGATATTGCTCTCATCATTTGGGGGCCAAACAAAAAGTTCTGATAGTTAATGTCCCAATCAAAGACAAGTAAGTTATAAAAAAAAAATGAACTGAGGCAAGAAGGGGAGGGGAGGTGACAGAAAGAAATGGCATAGAAAAGACCAGCATCTACTTTGAAAGAACAAGACACAGAAGAAAATTATATACAACAATTAACAGAGTCTATGAAAGAAGAGATCAAAGATAGGATGACAAGAAATCAGAATGAGATAAAAGAGGAGCTGGCAGTTGAAGAAAGAAACGATGACAAAAATATCATCACAGAACTAATACATATATTAAAGTTATAAGAGGTAAAATCCACAAACCAAAAACAATATTGATGATGTGGAAAACAGTCTTCAAAAACTGCACAAAATGCAGAGGAAAAGGACAAGTAGATAAAAGCAAGTAGAAAAGATGACAGATAAGAAGGTTTGAAAACAGAGATTGAACATACAGATAAAAGGTATTCTAGAAGCAGACAGCAAAACAAAACATGCTCAAATCTGTGACAGAAAATACTTAGTTGAAATAAAAGAGTATCTGATGTTCTAGGAAAAAGTAATACAGAATTATCAAAATTGAGACATCTTGGAGAAGTTATAGAATTTCAAGGATAAACACTGAATTTTATTAAGATATTTAAAAATTAGTCAATTTACAGGAGAAAAAGCCGAGAGGCCTTTGACTTTTTCACAGTACCATTTAACAATAGAAAACAGTGAAGCAGTGTCTATAGAAGCTTAAGAAAGAAAGAACAAAACGCAAGTATTCAGTCCCCAAGTAAGTTCACAACCACGTATAAAAGTAGAAAAAAAGAATTTTCCAATCAGTGTAGTCAGGGAATGCAGCACATAAGTATTAATAACTCTTCTTCAAAATCTACTCAGTGATATATGACAGATCCAACAAAGAGAAGGTTCAAAATCAAGATCTCAAGAATAGAGAATTTGGTGGTGAGCAGAGGCTGTGAGCTCCAAATCCACTTACATTTAAAAGGAAGACTGAATAATTAATAACACAAAACAAAATAATCCCTTAAGTGTAATAATTATAATAATAATAAATTATCCCATAATAATAACCATAAGAGTACACTGAATCGGAAAAAAATCCTCAAGCATAAAAACAATATTGGGGGAGGGGTGAAGAGGCATCCAAGGATAAGTATTTAATATAAATGGGCAAATATTCTCAACTTTCATAGCAGGACATAAATACGTGTCACTGTTTCATTTCTGAAGTTAATAAATCTCCAAACAAAGGTATAAGCACATTAATTAAAGTTAAAAATGTAATTAGCAGTAAAAATAAAAGCCAGACTATATAGCTTTTAATTACTAGAGGGAGGAAATCAAAGAAAACGCAGACTGTGTAGTAAAAGGCAGAGGACAAAGGAAATCACACAGAAATACAAAAAAGAATGCATAAAATTAACTATGAAATTAGCATATAAGAATATATGTTATATTAACAAATGTGAATTGGATAACTTCTTCTGGAAAATATCAACAATCTCTAATTGGATTTTGTCTATAAGAGACACGGATACAGCAACAGGACACAAAAAGTTTGAAACTAAGAATATGGCCAAAGATACACCAAGCAAAAGAAAGTAGGGATCGTGATTAATATTATTCATGGTTAAATTCAAGACACAAAATCTTTTAAGATGATAAAGATGAACATTTAATGATGTGAAAAAGTAAAACCCACAAGGAAGATTTATTATGAATATTCATACCCCCTAATAGCAC